TTGCGAAAATCTGCTGCCAAATCACTGTCGCAGCCTTGATGCAGCCATTCCAATACGATTTTCGATCTTAGCTGCAAAAGACAGTAGTATTACGCATGCAGCCGCGGCACCGAGCAACCACAGACACAACCACTCGTTGCAAAACACATAGGAGGAACAATTCGCGCACAAAACGACCGCAGCCGCACCCGTCGCACAGACAAGGTACCTTTCATCGACGGCTGCAGCCACTTTACATGGAAAAACGCACGGTTTCGTGCTCCGGCTTCCTCCCCAAAACATAGCCCATGCAACATTCATGCAGCCATTACAATGCGTTTCGCAGCATCCCGTGACAAACCCGCACCTATCTACGCACGTGGCAACATCAAATGACGAGCTGGGGCGGTCCCCCAAGGCGACCCGATGGCTCAGTTGGTATGGCGTTGGTCTTGCCAGCGCTGACAGACTGCCGGTGGTGGTTCGAATCCCTGCTGGTCCACTCGGGAGTCTCAAGTGCGACCCGCCGAAAGGCAACGGGCGCCGACCAAAGAAAAAACGAGCTGGGGCGGTCCCAGGTTGAGGTCCAGAGGTGCACACTAAGCTGGGAAGGTCCCAGGTTGACGATAATGAAGCAGCCATTCCAATTCAATCTGCAACCAAGATTCAAGAACCGCATAGAACTACGCACGCAGACACAACCACTCGTTGCAAAACACATAGGAGGAACAATTCGCGCACAAAGCGACCGCAGCTGCACCCGTCGCGCACAGACGAGGTACCTTTCACGCCGGCTGCAGCCACTTGACACGAAAAACAAGGTTTGGTGCTCCGGCTTCCTCCCCGTTCCTGCAGCCATTGCAATGCGATCTGCAACCACCCTTCATCAAGGTCAAGTCTCAATCGCACACGAGCCTTCAAGGTCAAGTCTCAATCGCACACCACCCTTCAAGGTCAAGTCTTAATCACGCAGCACCCTTCAAGGTCAAGTCTCAATCCGATCTGCAACGACCCTTCATCAAGGTTATGTGAAGTCTCACACCACCCTTCAAGGTCAAGTCTCAATCCGATCTGCAACGACCCTTCATCAAGGTCATGTGAAGTCTCACACCACCCTTCAAGGTCAAGTCTAAATCCCGCACCACCCTTCAAGGTCAAGTCACAAGTCTCAATCGCACACCACCCTTCAAGGTCCAGTGTCAATCGCGCACCACCCTTCATCATTTCAAGACTTAGAATTCTATTTGTCCGTACCTCAGAAGTATTGCTTCCCAACTTCCTTTGACAATGCTATCACCTCTTTCTCATCGCTTGTCACTGAACTGGACCGCCGATCACTTTGCCCTTTGCGTTTTGTTTTTTATTTTTTGATTGGTTTTGGTTTTGTCTGTTCTGTTGCTTTTGGGTGTTGTCTTTTTGTTTGCTGTGTTTTTGCAATGGAATCGTGACGGCTGCTGGACCATGTACAGGTCCCATACCAAATTCACTTTTGTTGCCTCCAATCAGATGGCGGCTACATGTATGCATTAATTAGTCAATTTACCGGTTCTATGCAACATGCAACTGAACGTGTTGAACGACCTGGCGAAAGCCAAGAGGCGTTGGACGGAAACAAATAAGCAACAAGCATAAGAGTTGGAACAGAGGAGGCTAGCACATGCGAAGCCTGATTTCAATTGACTTTCCGGCCCCATGCAATGCAACATTCACCAATCCGTCGCTACTCCGCGCCACTCATTTATAATTGACTGAAAAAAATCATCAAGCATGTTCTTCCTGGGCTGAAAAATTCGGTAGGAGTCTAGACTTGAACTGCTGCCGCAGCTTAGAGCGGTCTGAGTATGAGCTTTTGTGGTGTCACTTTTCCAACTGTTCGACCGCCCGTAAGAACTCGCAAAGTTGACCAACCTAGAAGATGGAAAAAGCACATCTGAGAGGACTCTAGTGTGCAGCTTACACAAGTTTGTTGCTCTCACCTCTTTTTGGGCCATAGACCTAATAATTTGTTTCTTGATGACCGCTGTACTCAAGCATCTTCAACATCATTGACGTCGCACAAGGCAATTGCGGTGCTGACAAGTTGCGCTGGGTATTGTTTTGCAGCTTTGTTGGTACACGCATGTTGGCCTAGAAGAAGAGATGCACAGCACATGACCATCCAATCTGGTGCAGATAAGCTTGCTCCCGCTGATGTGTATGCGAACAAATGGCTGGTTGTAGTATCCTCCTGTGTGCGGACTGCTGCCAGCAAGCATCGCTGCATCATGCGGTGGGTGAAGATGCCCTCGGCTTCTGTCCAGTCGTCCTCGTGGTGCAGTTGGTATCGCGGCACTCTTGTGTCGCTGACACACTGCCGGTGGTGGTTCGATTCCCCGCTGGTCCGCAGGTAAGATTCAAGACCGTAGACCAACGGGCTCGGACAAAAAAAAAGCCCTCGGCTTCTGTCCAGGGCTACCCTGGTTTGCATAGCCTACCGTAGTGAACAGGAGGCCCCTCCCAGGGGGGCTGAAGCTATGTGATCATTGTGCCCCCTTTTAGGGGGGCAGCATCCATTCGTCAACTTTCATCTGCCATCTACCAGAGGTTCTTCGATGGCTATTTTCGTGATCATGATAACTAGACAAAGCACACCTGAGAGGCGTCTGAGCGGCAGTAGTTTGCTACGGCTTTTTGCTTAGATAGCTAATTCATTGACTGAGTGTTTATGAGCGTACACACCCTGACGGTGATTTGCTCCCTCAGTTTCCAATGTGCTTATTTCCGTTTGCACATTGGCAATACCCTGTGCAGGGTCTTTTTATTTTGCTGTGAAGGGACTTCTAGAGTTCCCTCCTTCACAGGTGGCAATTGTTGTGTGTTTGTTCGTGTTTGGGCTTCGGCTCCGTTCCTTGCTTTTCTGTTTGGTTGTTGGTCTTTGTCTGCGGGAGTAGATACGCACTTCTGGCCTGGGGAAGTGCATTTCGCTTCGCCCTGTACAGACTAGGCCATTTTCTTTGAATTCTTTATGTGCAGTATAGAGGACCGAGCCTTCGAGCTGAATCGGCCACACTCGAGCAAAAAAAAAAACAGTTGAGGTCCAGCAGTGCCCACTGCGTGCGGAAGTTGGCGAAGAGCTTGGCGAAGAGTTGGCAAGGCGGAAGTGGACATGGAAGTGGCAGTGAGAACATACTTGGGGCCGGAACTGGCGACGGGACAGTGTGTTTATACAGCAGATAGATTAGCCTTACATAGAAAACAGTATGAGTGTGCCTTACATACTAGGCTGGAATGTTGTGCGATATGATGATGGGATGCGCAGATGAGTCAAATTTGGTGCATGGATGCGCAGATGAGTTAGGATGCGCAGATGAGTGAAATGTAGGGTGCGCAGATGAGTGCTTTGCCGTACCAGACCCCCTGGGGGGGTGCCAAAATGGTCCCATTTTTACAAATGTTAGAGAAATTTCTGAACCAATTTTAGATGACATTGGGGTTGATTTTGTAAGGATCCATATGTTTGTAATCTGTTCCCACTAAAAGGTTTGATTTTATAAAGTGATTTTATGCTGTATTATATTTGAATCCACAACATGGGCATTGATGGGGCATTGATGGGGGCATTACAAAATCATGGTCTACACCCCGAAAATGAATTGATAGGGCATTGCAAAATCATGGTCTACTATAAAAACATTTTAAAAACATGGCCCATTATGAAATCAAACCTTGGAGTCATAAGGGGAAAAATCATGTTACAAAATCAAGGGTCCAGACCGAAACCCTTATAAAATCAGGCCCATTACAAAATCCAAGGGTGTTTTTCCGGTACCAAATAATATGATTTTGATATTATTTTAAGATTTTTGCTTTCAATGAGGGGGTCAATTGCTCTGTAAAAAAATCATGTACAGTCTTGATTTTGTAATGAAAACCATGCTTGGAAAGGTCTGGTACCTTTGATTTTGTAATGATGGGGACACCAGTCTGAGGGTCAGGCCCCAGCTTTGTACTTACAGAATCAGGGGGTGCGACCTACTCACTGAATTTCAAGGGGGATGATAAAATAATGGTGTGAAATGTGAAACCCCGAAACAGTGTCGTGTTGTATTTTGAAACGTTGAAAAACTTTGAGCTTCGGAACTTTGCAAAGCCGACGCTTCCTTGTGGATCATGATTTGTTTCTATCAGATGAAACTGCAACAAATTTTTGTGTTTTGCAGTTCTTTTGCACGGTTCTGGTCATTTCGTTGTTGATCATCAAACCTAGACTCAGACCCTTGGAACTCCGGAACGTTGATGCTTGGATTCTTCAAACCCTGGAACCTTGCCAATCCAGATCTTGGACCCTGCAACCTTGCCCCGTGAGATTTCAACGTTGCAAAATTGTGATTCTGGAATCTGGAACCTCAGAATTTTGGAACCTTGGAAGGCTGCAACCTTGGAATCTTGGACGCCCCGAAAAATTGCAATCCTGGAAACCTGCTTGCAACCTTGGAACCTGCGTTTGGGTTGCAAATGTTTGTTAATTTTGCGTTGTGTCGTTGTTGTCGTTGTTGTCGTTGTTGTTGTTGTTGTTGTTGCCGTTGTTTCCGTTGTTGTTATGGTTGTGATTGTGATTGTGGTTGTAGGTTTGGTTTGTCGCTGCTGCAGGTTTGGTTTGTCGTTGTTGCATGTTGTGGTTGTGGTTGTGGTTGTAGTTGTGGTTGTGGTTGTGGTTATGGTTGTAGTTGTGGTCGTGGTTGGGGTTGTACTTGTGGTTGTGGTTGTGGTGGTGGTAGTGGTGGTGGTGGTGGTGGTGGGTTTTGGTTGTTTTGGTTGTTTGTGGTCACAGGGTGGTACATTTACATTTGCATTTTGTTGTTGATTTTTGATTAGTGAAATTTTTGCATGTGCATTGTGCATGTGTCGCACCAGGACCAATAAATTCAAACGAACCCAATTTCAACCAACATGTTTTCACAGTGGGTTGTCGTTGTGGAAATCTGAATGTTTTGCATGTCCCAAAGGTTTTGAACCACAAAACGTTTGTTTCGACAATGGTAGCCAAATTTCTGGACCAAAACAGTGCAGTTGCTCTTGTTGTTCTCCGGTGGCCTTGGTGTTCATCACCGGTTTGTCATGGACACGGTCCCGCCCTAAGTGCACCATTCACCTTCAGGTCTTTTGCCTAAAAACTGTTTGGAGATGCCATGTTCACCAATTTTGCACAAAGGTTAAGACGGCAAGTGTTCGTGCCTATGCCGCCTTCTCAGTGCATGGCATGAAATGGTTGGTGCAAATAGCTGTGCATTTAACATTTTTTTTTCTGTTTGGAGTTTGAACATAATCATGAACATGTTCAATCGATGTTCTACATGGGGGGTTGGGACTTGATCGACCCTCGATGCTTTGATTCTCAGGTGGACAGTGCCTGGTTGAATCCAGGTGCTGCTGCTGTGGGAGAACACATGCCACATGATTCAGGGCATTGCATGGTACCAGGATGCTGCTTTGTAGATCTCTGCAGGAGTTGATACCTTTTGAACTAGTCTTGAACTGTTGCTCCGGCGTTGTCCTAGTTGCTGAGGGTATGATTCCAAACAAATCGATATGTTTAGGATTCTTTTTGGCCTCCAATATCTTCCAAGACAATGGATGGCCAGTCTCAGCTTTTGATTCCAAAATATTCCAAACACAACAAATTCAGAATCGGTCCAACGGAAATTTTGTAGGAACCATGACTAACTCATGTCCAAATTTCATGGGAAAAACCATTTTGGTCAGTGCAAAACCATGTTTCTTTGCAGGGATCACCACGGATGAATTGCGATATGAGAAACAGTGGCTCGGCTCCAGGTTTTGATCCCGGCCTTGGAAAAATCTGCCATTTTAGTGGGAACATGTTTGTTACCCTCTGGTAAACTAACATAGCTATTGAAAATGGCCATTTATAGTGGATTTTCCCATTGAAAATGGTGATTTTCCATAGCTATGTTAAATTACCAGAGGGTATCCAGTGGATGCATGGGTATTTTATCAGACAAACCCATATTTCTTGGGCAATTTCCGTGGTCCAACGCTGGTGACCTTCGTTTCATTTTCCAATTTCACTTGGGCCATGGCCAAAAGCTGGATCATTCACATTGGATATGCGGTGTTGGGCCACTTTCGGCCCATATTTATTCATGTTCCTTAAAAAATGATGACCCAGAGAAAGATAGTAAAACCATGTAAAGCCAGTAAACTGAAGGTTCCTATATGGTTCCCTCCATTTCCATCTATTTGGGGTTTCAGGTCGTTACGGGGTATCAAGACCGTCGTGGGTTGAGACCTGAGGCAGTTGACTGATGCGCGGCGCAAACGCTGTACGTTTGGCAGCCTGAGGAATAGCAGTTTCTGCTGGATTCCATATCATTTTCTTTGAAGAACTTGAATCATGTGGTAAACCCAATAAACCTACCGGTTGGGTATAATTTATACCACTCATTTTTGAATACATTGGGGATGGTTTATTACTGGGTTTACCACAGTACTTGTTGTGTATCCAAAAAGTCTGGCTACGGCTACTTGTTCAAGTTTTAGCACCCCACGAAAAGACAAGAAAGTAAATTATATATCATTTTTTTTTTCCGGGTTTACTATATGTATATAATATGTATATATATATATGTATGTAATGTAATGTAATGTAATGTAATGTAATGTAATGTAATGTAATGTAATGTAATGTAATGTATGTATGTATATATCCCTTCCAGCAGAGGCAACAGGGTTGTTTCATGGAATCAGTGCTGTCCAGGTTGGGTTTCAAGGAACGAATGGAGGCAGATGCTGAGTGCAAGCAAGCCTACCAACAGGCCAGAGCAATCCGCTGGGCAGCTGAAAAAATCCCTCACAGCAACTTGCCTTTGTACCGACAAAAAAAGGTGTGGTGACAGCCACAGCATAAAAAACTGTTAATCCTCGAAATTGGATTGTTGAAGATTGGAATAAATGACACAATCAATTGGGTCTATTGGTACCTCTTTTTAGCCATAGCCTTTGCGGAGCGTTTGTCCTGGGCTGTGTAGCTGGCAGGTGATGGACATGCGAAAAAACGAGCTCCAAAGGAAAGCGCTCGACCAGAACCTTGACGCAACCGGGAGCCAAGACCTGTTCTTGTGATTAGTATGATTTAGTATATTTTAGTATGGATTTGTCCAACCATTTGATATGGATATGATTCATGGGTAGTAACGGATGTAACTAATAATAGGATATACACATGTATATATTGTATATATATATATACAAATGTAATATGAAACCATTTTTTTTGTGCTCCAATCTTTCTGTGACCCTTCACCAAGTCGGAATTGAGAGGCAATGCACTGATTGGTGTTGCCCAGGAAAAATGGCTGGATCCTTTGAATGGTGGGGGAATTGATCAAAATTGTGTCTTTTTTTGTTAGAGGGACATTTAGCAGATCACTTCAAAAATCAAAGCAGATAAGAAGGTTTCTGGCCTTTTTTCCCTTCATGCTAACCGGTTTCCCCTCAGAAATGGTAATGATAACCAGATCAATATTAGACCAACCACCAAAAATGAGGTCCTAATCGCCAAACGATGTGCCTGTTGGTTGTGAGCGATGCATACTTGTTGGTTTTCTTGATCAACAAAAACATGACATAGTCATAACAATCTATCTGGAAAGAAACATAGGACCTCTCTGCAACGTCAATGATGGTTCAACCGTGAGGGGCAACGATCCCAAAGTGGTCAACGTTTCTCCTTGGGGTGGTGAAACATTATAATTCATCACCATTTTTTGATGGGAATTTCCAATGTTTCCCCAAGGTTTCCCCAGGAAAAAAGGATCAATTTCCCATTTTTTGATTCACCATTTTCATCATCTATTCTCATATATATATATATAGATGATTACTCCTAGAATTCATTGCCCAATAATTCATCCAATGATATCTATTCCCCAATTCCCATTTTGTTAGATGATTAAAAGGATAATTTCACTGAAGTTGATGAGATATTAGAAACCATTGTTGGGATGATATCTATTCCCCAATATAGCTGAGGGAATATTAATCATTGCAATGATTATATAGATATCTATTCCAATGATTATATAATGATATCAATATGATATTTATCCAATAATTAATCCAATAATTCATCCAATGATTAAAACTTTCCCATTTTGTTTGGCTGAGGATGGTGGCCAACATGCGCCCCGCACCGGAGTTAAGGGCGCCTAAGGTGATTTGCCACAACCCGCGTGGGGCACGGGGCACCCAGCGAAGCGAATGTGGGGATTTGGTGGCGGCGTTGTGGAGTTTTGCAAGGCGAAAAACTATGAAAAACCACCTGATTTCCTGCAAAAGAAATGAAAACTCACCTGATTTCCTGAAAAAAGTGGCAGTTTTTGGGACCAAGTATGTGATTTGAGAAGATTCATGGTTCCTAGGTCCACGAAACTATATATGGGAGGGCCTAGGATCTGGAAGAATCTTTGGAACTGGCCATGGCAAAGTGAAACTGATGAAACCTGCCCGTGGTCATCGTACCCTTTTGTGGGAGGCAAAGTGACAGAAGAGGAGTGAACAGCCAGATGCGTGTGATGCTCAGACCATTCTGTCCTGATCATCCTCAGTAAGATCTATACTTCAATTTATGGCAATGTTTGTTCGGAAGATGCTGATGAACTGTGCGATTTTGGGGGGTTCATCCTTTAAGGCAGTTGTCAATTACCAGTTTGCTCCTTACAGATGTGGGCCACCTGGTACACAAGATGGGGTGGTTTAATTATTTTGGTCCGCCTAAAAAAAAACTAAATCTCTGTGCTCCCAGGGCCTCAAAGTTTGATCCATACATTTTCTTTGTCACTGGTCACAGCAATGTGAACCACGCGACATGCTGAGAGTCTGTCTTCTCTCAGAACTTTGTTGTCATGTAGAAGGTCAGTGTTTGCTGTGGAAACAGGTCGTCTGAGCATCGATGACACAATAAGTGTCGGCAAGTTTGTTAGCGTTGGATTTGCCCTCAGAGAGGTGAGGGGTCATGGTCTCTGGAAGTGATGGAGCCGACATTGCACATGACGCGTGCCTCAATACAACAGAAGCTGCAAAGGTCCCAAATACTCTGTGGTGGGGTGTTTGTTAATTGGAATAGCACCGCTCCGTACTCCTCAATGGGAAAGCTTCTAGTGATGTGGACACCAGGATCATTAGCTTTGCACTAGACTGTTGCGACTGGTTGATTTCACAATGTTTCACATTATTTCTTGATTCCATTCCAAAGATGGAGGATCCTCCGCAATGAATGGATGTACTTCTGAGATGGCTCAACCAGCAGTCACATCAGCTTCCAAATGTCAAGATCCTCTTGAGATCCTTCAACGACCCCAACGTGCCCGCCATGCCATTGTGGCGGCACGGTTGACGTCGACCGTCTAAGACTTGGTCGTCTTTTCGGTGCCCTTCCGCGTATCCCAGAATCACCGTCCGAATTTTCGCTTTGGAAGGAGTTGATGGTTGAATAGCTCAAAGGGATGGGGATGGATCAACAATGGGAGATTCGGAGATACCATAACCTGCATAGAATGAAACTTGTATTGAAAAAAAAAATAGCAGTGGGGTTTTCATCCTTGGAAAAGATGCGGGTAAGTTTCACAATTGGGTAGGCACAAAGTTGGATGGTTCATACAAAAGGTAAGTAGCCGAATCTTTTGTTTCTAGTCTTGAAGGGTATAGGTATATCGAGTTTTCTTGCCGACCAGGAGAATCCAGAAAGGTCAGAAAATGGAAAGCTTCGCAGCAGGTTTTGCCTTGGGCAATGTGAAAGAACAGCTGAAGCAGTACCGGGATGAAGCCTTTTTGAGGGGCACCAAGTAGAGCAGCTCTTGCATCCGGAGCGCGCCGTTGCAGCTCCAAAAAACGGGAGGATGACTTTCCAATGGGCGTTGTCGCTAGAGATAAAATGGTTTCATCATGCCAGGTGGATCATCCAAGGATCATCCATGTGCCATTTATGAAACCAGCGCCTACTCTGCCTTGCAGCAACACCAGGTGGTGAGATTTAGGGCCACAACAAAATGTAGTTGCCGAGAGGCATATGTCAGCATCCTCCAGACTTCTTTACGCTCATTTATCCTGAACATGATTCTGAACTGTCAGTTGTTGTCTCACGTAGAAAGCACAAGAAACAGACCATGATGTCCTACTTTGGATGTTTGTTGAGAGCTCCGGTGCCAGCCACTAGCGCAATGTATCAGCAGAGTCTTGTCGGCAGAAGATGTGAATGGGTGCTTGGTGCTTGGTAGCTGAGCAGGATCCACTGGTGTCCGCATCGACTGGTGTCACCCCAAAGCCCATGAAGAATCTCAGGGTCCAGCGGTGATGTTTACGGATCTCCATGCTCCGAATCTTAGCGCGTCGAAATTGGAGAGCCCATAGAATCAGGAAGTAAGACTAAGAACCATAGAATACCATAGATATTTCCAAAGGGATTTTGATTCGACATTTCCAAAGGGATCCCCCAGATATCGCCCGAGAATCCTATGATGCCTGAGGAACTCTGCCGCACCGCCTGGGTGAGGGGACCCAAACTCCAGTGGTCTAACATGAAATTTCTGCCCTTCTTATGTGGCCATAAATGAGAAACCAAATCAGCAGGATGCTGCATATTCGGATTTTCGAGCAACTGCCCAAGGCTAGATTTTTGTTTGAATCCCAACCAGGCCATATATATATATATATACATAAATAGATAAATAGATAAATAAATAAATAAATGAATAAATAAGTTGATGAATAAATGAATAAATGAATACATAAATATAATAAATAGATAGATAAGTAAGTAAATATATATATATAGGCACTGTTTCACCTATCCATATCCATTCAGGACGCAGGAGACATCCGTTGTTGAATTCCAGCCTCTGCCGCTCTGTCGCGAGGGTGGTTGCGTGGGATGCCATATTGCAGGGAGTCCTAGAGGGCTGGGCTTAGTCGCCACAAGTTATTGATTGGTTTAGCAGCACACGCCTGTAAAGGGTGAAGATAACAGGGTTGATGTATGATGAGTGAAAAATAGCAACCCTAGAAGTTGTGCAAACGGGAGGTTCAGGATACAACTTGGACAATCCAAGCCACTGTCCTTTGTGTTGCACTCCGCCGTTGTGCAGTGGCTCGAGGACTTTAGCGCGAGACAACAATGCTGCTGGCATCGTGGAGCTATTGGAACGGGGGGCGCCCCCAAGCTACTGCAACAGGTGGGATCAACGGGTCGTGATGGCTTGATGCAGAAACTGTGCCAGCGCTGAGCGCCATGGCAGAGATAGGAAAAACATGGCGAAACCGGACGAGTTACACTGACCCGGTTCCATGTTTTTGTATGCCAGATGCACATAGAGAAATCTGGGTAGGAAAGCTAAGCAGACTGTAAACTTTGCGGAAAGTCAGGTTTCAGAAACCGAACTCCGCGATGTGATGACAGGGTGGGGCAGACACCGCTGCACATTGCCACCATGTGGGGCAGCGTCGAAGCATGCAAGGCGATTGTTGCTGGAACCTGCGAATATTGTATGAGCAGTTGCTGCATATCTATATATAGAATCCCGTAGTTGGTGTTTGTCTGAATTTGGATTGTCTCACGACTTGCTTCTTGATGTTGCTCACTTCATCATCTAGAGTCTAGACAATGTGTGTCATGTTGATGTTCCCAGAATCCCAGTGATGAGTGGGGTCTTGTACACCCGTTCCAAGGAGTCCTATTGAGAGTGATGCCCGATCCAAGCAGTCTGAACATGTTTGAACCAGATAGTATGAGAATGCATATTGTATGCCTCAATTCAGCTGGGGTATACTGGATACTGCAATCGTTGCTTTCACTCATGAACATTGGGACGCTTTTGATGTGTTTCTTCTTTCTGGGGTCTAAGTCAATACCTATGGGACCACTTCTCTTGCAAGGCCTTGCTTTACGCCCTCGCGGATCCCAACGCGGCCAACAGGTGCAGAGGGGGTTTCCACCAGAGAATGCTGATCCCCGTATATTGAACATATTGAACAGATTTTAGATGGATAAATGGTTAAATCCTCCATTCCTTGTTGCGCTTACATGTCCACTTCTTGATCAAATCGCCCTCTTGGCTGCTTAAATTCTCCATTTCTGCTGGCCAAATCCTCATGTTTCATGGTGAAATCCCAATTTTTTTGTGGATTAAATCCATTGAATCCCCATTTTGGTGGGTTAGTTCCTCCATTTTGTGACCGGAGTCCTACACCCCATCTCTTTGTAGAGCGACTTGGACCCCCAGGGCCTTTTTTGAGGCTCCGTGGCTCCACTCCGTTGCATGCGGCCGCGCTGGGGAGAGCCCTTTTGCCTCAAAAGGATGCAGAAATGGGAATTGTTGAAATCCCTATACAATAGTGGATAGTAGTGGATAATAGTGGATAATAGTGGATAATAGTGGATAATAGTGGATAGTAGTGGATAATAGTGGATAATAGTGGATAATAGTGGATAGTAGTGGATAATAGTGGATAGTAGTGGATAATAGTGGATAGTAGTGGATAATAGTGGATAATAGTGGATAATAGTGGATAGTAGTGGATAATAGTGGATAATAGTGG